TTGGCAGAAATATCAGAAATTTGGGAGTGTGTTTGCTGGGAGGTCCAGGCACACCACTGAGGTGATTGTACAGCTCCACTTTTAGCTGTGAATAAACCAAAATGCAACTCTGGTAGTGAAATTAAATTATTGTTGGATTGAAATCTGGCTTTGGGCAGTGGAGAAGAATTGGGAATCCCAATTTAAAGCCCACTTTTAACCTAATTCATTAAACCTGACCTCAGTTCTTCACTTTGTCCCCCCAGTTGTGGCTGTTTGGTGCTGCTCAGGGTGGTTTGGGAAGCCCAAATTGGGGTTTTTGGGGGTGTCTGGGTGGTTTGGGGTCCCCTTCACTCTGATAAAGCAGAATTGATTTGGGAGCTGCATCAGGCTCAGTTTGTGGTGGAGATTTTTGGGCTGGAGCAACTTTTGGGGCAGTTTCACAGCAGATTTACAAACCCACAACTGTTAAAATAAGCACAGAGCTGACTTATTTCAGCAAAACAGGGAAAAAATGGTTTATAATGGATTTAAAAACTCATTTTCTGATGTGGAACAGACTGTTTGAATGTAGGTTGAGCGCCACTGGTCTGTACTGGTGGGGAGCAGCTGAACAATGATGGGTTTGGAAATGCTGTGTCATCAGGAAGACGTGATTTTATTTCAATAAATTTCTTTTAGAGTGTGAAATGAGAGTTGTTTATGATATATTCTGTTAATACATCCCTACATTACTCTTTGCTCTTTAGGTTTTTGCAAGTCAGGATTCTTTCTAAAGCATATTTTGTAAAAATCTGGTTTTGTGAGATTATCTTAATGTCTCTACCAGCTGGTTATCTAATATGAAGAGACATTCATGATTCTTGACCAAATGGCTCCTAGTTTTACAAATGTATATTATTACAAATATATTATTATTTTATATATTATATATATTATTAGTTATATTGTATATAATATAACTAATAACATATAGTCTATTACTCTATTATATATTATATATATTCTATTATTACGTTATATATTATATGTTATGTATTATATATTATACATTATATTATATTATACATTATATTATATTATACATTATATTATATTATACATTATATTATATTATACATTATATTATACTATTACATTATATACTATTATATACTATTATATACTATCCTGTTATACTATACTATATTATGCTATTACTATATATATACTATATATATAGTAATATATAGTATATATAGTAATATATAGTAATATAAGTATATATTATGCTATTACTATATATATATAGTAATAGCATAATAGCATAATAGATATACCATATATATACACTATATCTATATACTATATACACTATATCTATATACTATATACACTATATCTATATACTATATATATATCCTATACTATACTACTACTGTGTTATACTATACTATATTATTAGTTTTACAAAAGTGCATTCTAATTCCGAGCTATTTCATATTCTATACAAACAGAATATTCTGTACAAACAGCTCTGCTCCTCCTCCCTCCCTCATGGTGCAGCCTCAGCCCCTCCCCTGCTCCCAGCAGGCTCCTCCTCTCCCCAAAATCCCAAACCACAGCTTCGATTTTGGCAGCCTGAGCTCTGCAGATGAAAGGCCATTGCCCCAACCCAGCCCCAAGCAGATGCTGACACACAGCTCCTAACTGGGGAGTGCTGCACTGAACCAGAGGGGTTTGCAAGTAAAACTTGTTGATTTTTCTGATTTTTTCCCGCTCCTGTTTAGAGATGGCGTCCGACGTTTCCTCGCTGGGCGCAGCCGTCGGCTCCGGGAACTCGGGCTCGGGAGCCCAGGCTGGAGCAGCTCAGAGACCCAGCAAGAGGCGGCCTGGGTGAGTGAGGCCTGGGGGAAAAGGGCTTTTGGAGGGAGTTTTGTTCTCCAGAGAGAGCTGTGGCTGCTTCTGAGGAGTTTCCTGCTTCCTTCAGGTGGGCTCTGTCCAGTGCTGTCCCTTTGTGGTCAGCTACCATTTCTATATTTCTGTGCAAACATTTGACTTTATAACATACATCACAATTCTGTCTTGCAATTGTAGGTTAAATCTGCATTTCTCTTTAACTGCTGAATTGTGTGAGCTTGGTTATACTTAAATTTTCATCCTTGGTTATTCTTAAATTTTCATTTATTCTAACTCTCTGTCCACCTCAATGTGCACTTACTGTGCATTGCACTTGTGAAGTTTGGTTTCATTTACAGCAAGAAATTTTTATCAATTATAAATTTATATATGTATAAATTATCAATTATCAATTTATCATACATAAGTGTCTCGCTTCTTTCAGTAGCCTGAAAAATCTGTATCTACAGATATTATTTTGTTATTACAGATATTATTTTGTAATTTTACCACACTTAAAGAACAGTAAGTATGGTGTCCTTACTCCTCAAAGTGACATATTCAGAGGGGACTAAAAACTTTGCACCTCATAGAAAAAACAAATAAATGCACACCAAGGATTGAGAGCAAGGCCTGGGGAAGCAGAGAATCTGAATTTTGGAGCCTTATTCCAACCTTTGCAGCTGTGCTGTCCCTGGGAGGGGTGGGGGGAAGCCACAATGTGCTTGTGGGAGGCTTTTTGTTTGCTAAAAATGCCTTTGCAAATTCAAATTCAAAGGGAGTTGAGTGCTTGTTCCCAGATTTCTGGCACGAGAAATTGCCTTGTAATTTTGGAGCAAACTGAAATCTGTTTCCCCTCCCAGTCCCTCAAACTCTTTCCTCCAGCCCCATTTGCTGCTGCTCCCACTCCCCTGCAGCTCCTTCCGTGCTGCATCCTCAGTTTTCCATCCCAAAAGGTGAAAACTCTTCTGTCCTTCCACATGAACTGGTCAGAAATGGGGTTTTGTCCCTAAACACTGCTGAACACAAACTGAACTTTAACTCCAGGAGGATTTTACCCTCCACTTTTTTTTTGTTTTGTTTTAATTTTAAATTCACCCAATCCAGGTTTTTAAACTGGGAATGCTCCATCTGTAGGTCCCTGATTCTCCTTGGAGATCCAGGCTTTTGGAGCAGAAGGTTGGGATTCAGTGGATGCTCCCAAGTGGGTTTTCTTCCTTTGGAACTGTTTTTCTTTGCTCTGTTCCTAAAAGAAACCCCTTTCCAAACTTTGTTGGTTGTTTCACATGAAAATCGCTAAATTGCATTGGGATTACTTCATTTTTCCTTTCAGGACTCATCCATGGGGACAGACAGAAAAGTAATTTAAAGGAGGAACCACTTGGTTAGCAGTTATGTTTTTTTCTGTTTTTCAGGCTCGATTTTGATGACGATGGAGAAGGGAACAGCAAATTCCTCAGGTGAGGGAGAACATGGCATCCAGAATTTCTGTCCTGTAGCTGTGTCTGTGTGTTTTCCCTGGAGCAAGATCTTTCTGTTCTTTGGCTTTTCCTCTCTGGAAGGAGTGGGAATTGCTCCAGTTCCTCAATATCCAGCAATATTCCTCCATCTCTGTGGCTTTTGACATTAATTAATCCTCATCTGCTGTAAGGATGCTGCAGTTGCAGAGACATCCTTATCTCTGAGGAGCTGGCAAGACTTTGAGGATTTCCTCATGGTCCATATGGAGCCCAGAAGAGTTGGGATATCTTGTGTCATTTATTTGTAGCCTCACTACGTGGTTTAGGATTAAATAACTCCACTGATGCTGGAGTTAACTGCAATAAAAACTCCAAATAACTCCAATTCCAGAATTCCCTGCATTCCTGTGCTTTAAGGATGATGAATGGGGATTTTCCAAGAGAAACCCCTGGATGGAGGTCCTGATTTGGGTTACCTTTATCTTCCAAGTGCAATTTGGGGTGATCAGTGAATTATCCTGCACTGCCCACAATAAATTGACCATTTTTAACCCCAGGGATTTTTGTGGCAGATTTTAAACCTTTTTTTCTGTGTTTTTTTGGGGAAAGAAGGAAGTGCAAACACTTTAACCTCTCCCCCTTCTCCTAGATGTGATGATGACCCGATGCCAAACGATAAAGAGAGATTTGCCAGGTAAGGATTTGATGATTTAAAAGCTTTTTTTGTGCCAAGAAAACTTAATATGAGAAGGATCCTGCAGCTCCCTTCTCACAACCATCTCTCTTTGAAGGGACCCACAATAATCCTTGGTGTTTTTTGGACCAGTTCATTGAGTGTGACAATGACATTCCTCTTTTTCACCATTCCTTTCAGCTCTGCCCTTGGACTCTCATGCTTTTCTCCTGCTCAAGAAACTTGCAGAGATTTCAAGTTTCCTGCTTAGTACAAGTTTTCCTTGAACAGGATTTCCTGGCACAAACTGGGATTTGTGTGTTTTGGAGGGAATTACACAGAAACTCTACAAATTGAGGGTTTTCTGGAGATTGTAGGGAATACTTTTATCAATTTTTTGTGTCTGACTATCCCTAAGTGTTGGGATTGAGCCCATGGGATTTTTACAGCTATTTTAAGCTCCATTCCCTTCTCTGGACATGTTCCAGCTCATGAATGTCTCATTTCCCAGGAGGGGCCCAAAAGTGCCCTCAGGATTTGGGGCAGTCCTGCTGTTACCTCCCAAAGGGCTACAGGGAATTCCAAGCTGGGATTCTCCAGCTTTTTAAATGGTTTGAGTCCTTCTGTAGTCAAGCAAATCAAAAATCTGTTAGAAATATCAGAGTCCTTCTAATATTAGAAATAAGCAAATCAGAACTAGGTCACAGCCTCAGAAAATGTTTTGAAACTCCAACACATCAGGCACCAATTGAAAGCAGAATGTTGCAAACTAATGACTGCTTTATTTTATGGAATTGCTCCTCTGCAAAACAGACCTGTCCCTAGGCTGGGTTTCCTAGTCCATCTTTCCATTTTTTTTTTTCCATTTCTTTCAACTTTTTTTCCATTTTTAGCTTAGCTGGCTAATTTTATTTTTAGGTCTGATGATGAGCAGAGTTCAGCGGATAAGGAGAGACTTGCCAGGTAGGAGAATGGAGATTTCAAGCATGGACAAGCAGAGTTTTTCCTTTCCTTAATGTTTCTCTAGGCATCCTTTCTCTCTTTTTTTTTTTTTTTTTTATTTTCCACTTTCCTTCCCTCATCTGCTGCAGAGGATTTAACAAACTCCTGGAAATGGCTGTGGAATTGGGATTAGGAGGGGGAAGGCATTGAGGAAAGGCACACCTCACCCTTGGAAAAACCTTTTTAGGGAATACATGAAAGGATTTCTTTACCAAATTTATTTATTTGCTTTCACCTGTAGCTTTGCTAACCTTTGCTACATTCAGTTCCTCTTGTCCTGGGTCCCAAGTTGGGATGGTTTTGTGTCCTGGGAATGCTGTTGGACTCTCAGACCAGGCAGGAAAAGCTGTGTTAGCTCAGGTGTTTTCCTTCCAGAAAAGGTGGTGTCGCTGCAAACAGGATTTAATTTTTCCTTGAGTTTCTATTAGTAATTTTCTATTGGTTTGTATTAGTAATTAATGAGTTTCTATTAGTAATTAATGAGAGGCTGTGCCTGAAACCACCAGAACAGTCACCAGGAATGAGCCCTGAGGACACCTGTGCCCTTCATTTTCCACCTTACATACTTAACCCAGTTTTGGGCAGTTTTGTTTTTAAACCAAAACCTGATCCCCCCCAGTGCTGACTGCACTGAGCTGTGCTGAAATGTTTGAGGGGGTCAGGAAGGCACAGAGGTGTCCCCAGCATGGACAATCCCAGTTCTCCCATCCATTTCTCATGGCAGAGTGAAATGGGAATGTTTGGTTGCTTCTGTAGTTGAAGGATCTTTGTTTTTCACACCTGAGCTTGTGAGTTTAGAGACTGACTCAGAGGTGAGGTCACTGAATGTCTGCACAAACCTCATAGTGATAAATGCTCCATTTTTGTATTTATCCTGTTTATTCACCTGCCTTTCCTTGCTCCTTCCAGCACTTCCATCTCATTTCACTTCCCACCATGTGCTTCCTTGCACAGGATCCATCCTTCTGTAGAGGAAACCTGGCTTTTAAGCTCTGTTTTGGAAAACCCACCTTAGGATCCCAGTTAAATTATAAATCCTGGATAAAAGAACCAAGTTCTGGTCTGATGGGAGCCAAAGGGGTGCCAAGAGCCTCTTTAGGTGGCAGCAGTGGTCTCAGTGCCACCCTGCAGGTGTTGCCTGCTCCTGGTCTGCCCAGCTTGGCTGGCCTTGATGATGTGTGCAGAAATGAGGTGTAACCTGCTTGGGAGCTGTG